CCCCCTTCTACTCCCTCAGCACTGGCTCCTCCCAACGCAGCCCCGTCCTGGAAATGTTCTCCCACCTCCTCCCAGCCCAGACGGGACCCTATTTTCGGCCGGCCCAGGGAGTTCCCCAGACTCCTTAACTGTGGAGATGGCCGGGCCACCCCTCCACCCAGCTCCTTCTCCCTGCAGCTGCGAACGCGTCTTTATCAGCTTCCTTCCTCAGCCCAGCCTGTCCTCGCACATCCTCCGGGAGGCCCCAGACTAGGGGCGGTGGGAGGGCACTGTGCCCAGGATGCTGGAGCCCAGGCAGGGATCCTGGGGTCAAATCTCTGCCCAGCGGGGGGCGGGGGGGGGCACAGGCCCATCCTTATCCTTTTACCTCCAACGCCCTGGGGCTGGGCACCACTTCTCCTCACAATGAAGTGGAGGCCCCACCCACCTGGGGATTTTAGCTGCAGGCCCAGCCCCCCACCCAGCACCCCACCCAGCCCCAGTCACAGCCAAAGAGACGCAGCTCGGACCTTTCACACACCGGGTGCTCTCATCTCTGAGTAGTCTGGGTCGGCCATGGGGTGCAGGAGTGTTAGGGGCAGAAATAGAATATTGGGGACTAGTATTAGTTATAAGAAATAAAATAAGAACTATCAGTCCTGCCCTGTTCGCTGACGGTTCTGTTCTGGTTCGAAAGCGCTTCTCACCTGCCTGGGAGCCGCAGGCCCTGGGACATGGTGCTCACATCCGGGGTCCATCCTCCTTCAGAGCCGCCTGTCATTGTGGAGAGAGTGACACCCTCGGGGCTGAGACAATCCAGTCCTGGAGGCACCTGCTCCTTACAACCCCAGCCCCTATGGCCTGGGGTCTGGGCCCGGGGCGCCCGCCCTCTGCGACCCCCCAGCCCCTGTGACTGGTAACCTGTGATGATTACCCGTGCCCACTTCCCCTGCCTGTAATTCCTATTTCCCGCGCCATCTCTGTCCTTCTACCCAATACAGCAACGGCTTGGGGCGGGAGAGCAGATTTTTGTGGGTGACCTGCTGCTCCCCCACGCTGCCGGCAGGATTGGAACACACGCTCATAGGATTCACCCGTTTGCTGAATTGGCTCCAGTGACAGGCAGATGGACCCCTGGCTGTCCGGGTGCAGGGCAGCAGCCTTCCCCCACCAAGCCAGTCAGGGCTCTTGCCAGGGGCACCTTCCTCTGACCTCGGCCTGTATCTGAGCAAGCCCGCTTCCAACTCCGCCCAGGCGAGGCTCGGCCTGCCTCCCGGGTCCTGCTGGTCCTGCTGCGGGGTCTCCATCCTCCTGCTGCAGGTTCTCCCTCGGCCCTTCTCTCTGTCCTGCGGCTGCTGAACCCCCTCTCCTGGCAGCCGAGAGGGCCCAGGGAGCTGACCCCCAGCACCTTCGGCTCCATCTGTCCTGCTCTGTCCTCACTCCCAGTCCCCTTGGAATCCCCGCCAAGGTCTTGCCTGCTCAGTCTGGAATCCTGACGTGCCCCCTCCTAAAGTCACCCCACAGCTGTCTGCCCCTGGCCACTCAGCCCACCTCCGCTGCCACCGCTCCGCGAAGGCAGCCTGCAGGATGGGGCTGCGGGGAGGGGCTCTGCCTGCATTCCCCTCACTGCAGAGGCAGCGCCTCTCACCCCACTGCTTCACCCTCCTCCAGGCGGAAGGACTCCCGCACTGACTGTCCTTGGTGGTTGGCGGGCATTGCTTTCAGCCCCAGAGAGCAGGAGGAGGAGTTAATGGTGTTAAGTGAGGGGAGGGGGGTGGGGCAGGGGAGCGGAGCTGCATGCCCAGCTCAGGGCTGGTCAGGGCGGCCAGCATCCTCCAGCCATTCCCACTCCTGCCCCTGCAGACCAGCAAGCTCATCCGCTCCCCTCCAGGCCCTGGGCTAGACCATATACTCGCTCTGGGGGATGGGGAGACAGGGACCTCCTCCTCTACCCCCCCCCCCCCCCCCCCCCCCTGGCCACTGCATGGCCCCGCTGGAGACTGATGGGAGCTGATGTGGTTTGTTAGTCATCCCTGCGTCATCAAAGCACCATCCCGGGGCTGGCTCTCCAGTCACCTGCCCATCGCCCTGCCCCTCCCCCAAAGGGTGCAGGCTGCCCGGCCAGGCCCTGTCTGACCCTCCCGGCTGAAGGAGCCCCGGGGCCAGGGGGAGGGGTCTCTCTGGGGCAGGAGCCCGGCCCACTCCCCAGAGCCTCCGTTCCAGAGGCCAGGAGAGCAGGTTTGGGAAGAGGGGGCTGCGCTGTGTGGGACTTGATGCCTCCTCCACACCCACCCCGGCTGCTAAGCCGCACTCCACGGGGCGGGGGGCGGGGGGGGGTAGAGAGGGTGGAGCCCGCTGCAGGGCCCTTTCCACTGTCAGGACTCACAACAGGTCTTCTGGGGGCAAACTGGAGACCTGGTATCCGTGGTCCTTCCTTCCCCTCCCCTCCCCTCATTCCGGCGGGGACCGCCGTGAGCAAAGGGGCAGAGACAGTTCTCCAGGACGGACTCGGGGAGCTGGTTCACGGGGCAGCCAGCGAGGCGCCTCCGCTCCCACACGGCACCTCTGGTCTGCGGGTCCGCCTGGCGTCCTTCCCTGAAGATGCCCGGGCCGGGCGTGGGGGCAGTCCACTGTCAGGACTCACAACAGGTCTTCTGGGGGCAAACTGGAGACCTGGTATCCGTGGTCCTTCCTTCCCCTCCCCTCCCCTCTCCTCATTCCGGCGAGGACCGCCGTGAGCAAAGGGGCAGAGACAGTTCTCCAGGACGGACTCGGGGAGCTGGTTCACGGGGCAGCCAGCGAGGCGCCTCCGCTCCCACACGGCACCTCTGGTCTGCGGGTCCGCCTGGCGTCCTTCCCTGAAGATGCCCGGGCCGGGCGTGGGGGCAGCCTC